CTTTCTCCATAACTCCAATCTAGAGTTAATCTTTTCTCGTAATTTAGCCATGGGAACTATGTCATCCAAGAAAAACATGCAATTAGGGGTCCTTAAATAAACTGAGTCAGAATATTTAGAAGAATATTAAACAAGGGCTTAAAGAAAATCCCTAGTATAGGTCAACCTTAAGAGGGAAGTCCATTATCTCACCTCCAAGCATTTTTACACTAGTAGTCACCCCTTCATATATATCTTTTATGGCTTTGATATATGCAACCCACACATCTTTCTTTTGCAAAGCTTTCCAAAGTACTTCTCTTGGCATACTATCATAAAATTTTTTCAAGTCAATAAAAACTATATGTAAATCCCTTCCTTTGCTTCTATATCTTTCTCTTAAGCCCCTTAGTAAATAAATCACTTCTATTGTGGATCTTCTCAACACAAATCCAAATTGTTTCTTAGAAATAGAATTCTCTAACCTTAACCTATCTTTAGTCACTTTTTCCCACAACTTCATCATATGACTCATAAGTTTTATCTCTCTATAGCTTGCATAGTTTTAAATATCTCTTTTATTTTTGTAAATAGGAATTAAAATCTTTTCTTCCATTCATCTAGCATAGTCTTGAAGTATAAAATTTCATTAAGAACCATGGTTAGCCACAATTCACCTTCCTCCCCCATATATTTCCAAACTTTAATAGGAATATCATCAGGTCCAGCGGCTTTGCCATTGTCCATTTTCTTAAGAGCTGCTTTAACCTCTCCAATGCAGATCCTGGGGTAAAAAGCCAAATTCCAATCCTCTTCGCTAATTAGCAAGTCCTCCAAGTTCATAGTCACACATTCACTTCCCTTATTAAATAGCTCGTAAAAGTAAGCCTCCCATCTATCCGTAATATTTCTATCAGTAACTAAAACTTTACTTTCTTCGTCTTTCATACACCTCGCTTGGTCCAAATCTCTCACCCCTTCATATATATCTTTTATGGCTTTGATATATGCAACCCACACATCTTTTTTTTCCAAAGCTTTCCAAATTACTTCTCTTGGCATGCTATCATAAAATTTTTCAAGGCAATAAAAACCATATGTAAATCCCTTCCTTTGCTTCTATATCTTTCTATTAAGCCCCTTAATAAATAAATCACTTCTGTTGTGGATCTTCTCAACACAAATCCAAATTGTTTCTTAGAAATAGAATTCTCTAACCTTAACCTATCTTTAGTTACTTTTTCCCACAACTTCATCATATGACTCATAAGTTTTGTCTCTCTATAGCTTGCATAGTTTTAAATATCTCTTTTATTTTTGTAAATAGGAATTAAGATCTTTTCTTCCATTCATCTAGCATAGTCTTGAAGTATAAAATTTCATAAAAACCCATGGTTAGCCACAATTCACCTTCCTCCCCCATATATTTCCAAACTTTAATAGGAATATCATCAGGTCCTGCGGCTTTGCCATTGTCCATTTTCTTAAGAGCTGCTTTAACCTCTCCAATGCAGATCCTGGGGTAAAAAGCCAAATTCCAATCCTCTTCGCTAATTAGCAAGTCCTCCAAGTTCAGAGTCACACATTCACTCCCCTTACTAAATAGCTCGTAAAAGTAAGCCTCCCATCTATCCTTAATATTTCTATCAGTAACTAAAACTTTACTTTCTTCGTCCTTTATACACCTCGCTTGGTCCAAATCTCTCTTTTTTCTCTCCCTTTGCTTCGCAATCTTGTAAATATTTCTTTCCCCTGTCTTTCTTCCTAACTCTTTATAAAACTCTTCATATACTTTAGAACGTGCTTCACTCACTGCCCTATTCATATCTTTTTTAGCCAAATGATACTTTCCCTAGCGTTTTGCATTATTGCAGAAAAGTATAGCCTTAAAACAATCTCTTTTCTGTCTGAATTTTTTTTTTACAATCCTATCCCACCACCAAGTCTCCTTATCTTCTGTAACCACAACCTTTAGATTCTCCTAAAATTGCTTTAGCAACCTTACAAAGCCTCCTAGTTGTCTCCTCCCACATGATGTTAGCATTTCCTTGCAACTCTTAGATCCCTTCCTTCAAAAGGATCCTTTTGAAAAACTCCCATTCTCGTCGTTTAACTTCCATTACCTGATCCTAGGGTTAACCATTTGATGATAGTTTTGTCTAATACTCTTAAAACGCACATCATGGATAAGTATTCTATGTTAGGTAGTTACCTCATTCTCAAGGATCACTTTACAATTAGTACAAAGTCTTCTTTATGAATTTCTAAACAAAAAGAAATCAATTTGTGATCTTGAGGCTCCACACTTATATGTGATTAAATGCTCCTCTCATTTCTTAAAGCAAGTGTTGACTATCTTGAGATTGTATGCAAATGAAAAGTCAAAAGTAGATTGTCCTTTATTGTTAAGCTCCTCAAAACTAAAACCACCATAAGTCCCAGCAAATTGTTCTCTTTCCTTATCAACATGTCTATTAAGGTCTCGACCAATAAAAATCTTTTCTTCAAGTGGTATGCTTTGAAGCAACCCCTCCATATCTTCCTAAAACTTATCTTTAAGATGTGTTTCTACCCCTACATGAGATCCATAAGCACTAAAAATATTGATAGTACTATTTCCAATAATAATAAATCTTAAAGATATTATTCTATTCTCAATCCTTTTAACCTCCACCACATTCTTCTTCCATGCTCCATTAACAATGATACCAATACCATTAATTGTACTCACTTTCCTTGTATACCAAAGCTTAAACTCTCTAAATTCCTTGAAAACTCCTCCAACCATTTAGTTTCTTAGAGGCATAAGATGCTAATCCTTAAGTCCCTCAAAAATCTTACTACCTCTATAGATTTCTCATTCAAAGTCCCGATATTCCAAGTGCTAATTCTAATCTTGTTATCATGAACTAACTTCTTTAGCCACCTCTATCTATGGTAGGCCTTGCTCTTTTAACACTATATCTAGGTGACCATACAGCGGCTTGAGCTTACTTCTCACTGTACTCGAGCTATACATTGTGTCACTTCTAGGCAGCGACCTAGCAGTAGCATAATTACTTCATTGATCCATGTTCATAAAATTCGACAAAGTTTTATGTTGGCTATCGAGGGCCTAACACAACCCTCTTCCTTTATCTAGGCTTGAGACTAGCTATACCACATAGGCGGAGTTTTTTATAGCTGACATTTTTTACATTTGTCTTCTACAACCTATGAGCCACAATGGCTTATTTATCTACTCAATAATCCATCCTACAAGCTTTTCTTTAATTACTACAGAACTGGAATTCTAGGTATTTCAACACCTTCATAACTGCAAAATAGTCTCAAACCCACTTGGAGGCGCCATCTGTGTTCTTTTCCTTGCATTTGTCAGCGTATCTATTACCCAAATTAGATAAGCCAATTTCTTGCTAGGGTCTCTTTAATCTTACTTACCACAATCTCATCAGCTTCATTACTATTGTTATTGGTACTACTAGTAAGCTCATGTATCTATAACACAATTTCACATAACTCTCCACCTCAACTTTCGTCAACCCCATCTCCTAACAGAGTTGAAGACCTTCAAGGATTTTCCTATTAGTTTTGACTATGAAAGCATCTCAGTCACAAGTTGGACCATACCCTTAACCTTTTTTGTTTTTTTGGGGGGGGGGGGGGGAAGGTATCATCTGCTTCCCCCCCTAATGCCTTCCATGCTATCCCATCATTTTCCTTCTTTTCCCAAATATTTTGTTTCTTCGATTCTTTTGATAATTAGATTCTACATAAAATTACTGACGTTTTGATATCTTATGAATAGAAAATTGAATGGTTTTCAATTTTTTATGTTTTTTCAAATAATTTGTATCTAGATTAAAAAGAAACTGCACCAATTTTACAGTGTCTTTTCTTTGAAAAATTATAAAAGAAATTGAAAATAGCACCATTTTTTACTTATGAAGTATCAAGATTTCAGTCATTTTATGTAGAATCTAATAATAAAAAGAAACAAGAAAAATATCTGGAAAGTATGAGAAAATTGACAAACAGCAGAGATGGAAAGTATGAGATTACTTGTATAATCTCATATCTGCCTTCAGTTTTAGTAATAACATTCCATTTAACATCGTAGTTTTACTAATTCCTCCCCATTCCGTAGCACTCTATAAAATTACTGTCATGGATAAGTTGATTCCTCATTTTCCATATAGACCAGCAACGCAACAAACAGCAAAAAGTTCAGGCCATTGTAGTTCCTCATCCAGTCTTTTCTTTGGAAGTATATTACGCCATAATCAGCTTTTCGATTCCTTTACAAAGAACTCTAACATCCAACTGCTTGGGAGTAGCTTCCACCATATTTTATGGCAGTCTCTTAGCTTAAGGAATGCAATGGGACTCAGATTCCAGTTTCCCTCTCCTTCAAAATAAGACTCGATTATATAAAATTAGTGACTTATCAATCTGAACTCCTTTGCTAGCCTGCGCCATGCGGAGAAGTCCCTCCTGGAAAACTTTTTCCATTTTGACCATTGCCCTTCAAAGGCTAGAGTCACCACGTACATCCTTCAAAGTAATATTTGAGAATAAAGGGGGTATTATTAGGCATTCGAATTTGTTAAATGTTGTGGAATTGAATGATTGAGATTAATTGGACTTTACAGGGAAATGAGTCTGCTAATTAATGTTTGAAGTAGAAGGGTTGGTATGATTTGTTTTGACTTTATAAATAATTCAATATCTTGTCCTCAATTCAGGGAAATTTAATGGAAGCTACCTATAAAGTCTTTGAATTAATACAGAATTTCTGCAAAATATAAACAGATTTGTAACTATCCTATGACTCCACATACAATGTATGATACATTTTGCTGCACATCTAGAAATTAAAAACCAGTCCTCTTATTTCACAGCAAGGAATCATACATTTCCTTTATACAAGCATAATACAAATATAATCAAAATGACACAAAAAAAACAGACATAATATGTATAAAGTTGGATCCTTTAAAGTTAAAATAAATCTTAAGTAAGAAGTGTGTCACATAAATATAGTGAATTCCCACACACATACACTTCCTTCATGTTCATATATTCCTTATTTTTTTTCTTATCACTTTCCAGCACTTGACCAAATTCTAGCTTTGAAGGATCCAAATCTCAATAATGTATAGCTAGGTTCATGAGATCCAAAAATCCCTAAACCCTCATCTCTAGGCTGATCATGTTGCTATTGTCTTCATCACTCTCTTCAAATTTGACAGGCCTATACAACTTAGCACAAGCAATGTAAGCTGCAAAATCTATTGCTGTCAATGCTGCCAAAAGGTAATAAAACTTGTCCAAGTGTCCCTTGTTAAGATTTGATGGGATCCATCCTAAGCTCTCACCTCTCTGAGAAATCTTCATAACAATGGCAACAATCAAACTACTTACATAGTTTCCTAGTGACATTGAAGTCATGCAAAGGGCACTTCCAAAACTTTTTAGTCCATCTGGTGCTTGCCCATTGAAGAACTCTAATTGACCAACATACATAAATACCTCTGAAGCTCCTATAAGTATGTACTGTGGCGTCTGCCAAAAGATGCTTAACGAACTTGATGTTTCATTTATAGCATTCTTTAACCTAAAATGCTCTACCACTCCTGCTGAAACCATGGCCATCATTGCTATGATTAGTCCTATTCCCATCCTTTGCAGCTCAGTGAGTCCTTTGTTCTTGTTCCTTCGGGCGACTAAAGGGTTAAGAACTCGCCGGTAAATGAAGATGAAGGCAGCGACACTGAGGATATCGAAGCATGACATGCTTGCCGGAGGAATTTTAAATGATGATATTCTAGCGTTCATTGCTGCACCTTGTTCTACAAAAGTTGATGCCATTTGAGTGAAATTAACAGAGTATATTATAGTGCATAGCCAGATTGGGATTAGTCTTAGTATGCATTTCACTTCTTCCACTTGGGTCACTGGGCAAAGATGCCATGCATTGAAGCTATTTTCTTCCGCCTTGTTCAACTCTTCTGATGTTTTGAACGCTGCTTTATCCAAGAATCTGATGACATATAGATATATCGTTAGTAACTTCTTTGAACATTAACAATTGATTGATCTAAGTTGAACGTAATATAAAAGTTCTCGGTGATTTGCCTTGGAGGAAGTCATATTCCTTCTTTATTAGATACTATGAAGAAGAATATACAAATATAAATAAATGAAAACCTTGCATATAAAATAAGAAGCTTAAACTTTCAAATAAGCTATGGAATAACAAAACTAGGAAAGAGAAAAAATGGAGCATTAGGGAAACATAAATTACAAAGTGATTAGAATAATTCAACTTCTTTGATGAAAACAGACAAAAGGTATGGGAAACATGTATATTAAAAATTTCTATATGGTATCTTACACAGATATACATATATAAATGATCAAACATAAATTTCTCTCTCATCGATGTACCGTTGATGAATGATAATTAGTTGATGAGCATACCTAAATCCTTCAGTGTGGAGTATCTTTCTCCCTCCCTTGGAATATTCTTCGACTTCAAAAAGCTTGTTGTCCTCATCAGACCCGACGTTGACCTTCCATTTTCTCATTGCAGCTACAAAAACTTGGCAAAATCTAGGAAAAGGATTCCCTCCAGGTTTAAAGTACCTGTACCTCGTAGTGCCACAAAGGAACATGATCAAGGCAAGAGTAGCAGATCCTGCCGAAGCCCAAAACCCTAGGGTCCACAAAGCCTCATTCTCATAATAACCCAACACTGTGTTGGAGAAGAGAGATCCAAGGTTGAGAGCCAAATAGAAATAGCTGAAGAATGCTATCTTTGAGCGTCCTTCTTTTGGGTCTCCTTCATCAAACTGATCTGCACCAAACGTAGCAATGTTGGGTTGGTATCCTCCATATCCTAGGGCTACAAGGTATACTGCGAGGTAGAACAAAGCTTCATGGAAAGATGAATGGGATCCACAACTGAGTTGTTCGTCTCCACAACCACTAGGACTTAGTAAAAACTTGTAGGATGTGAGAGATAACAGGCCAAGACCCTGTCACATACAAAACTTTATCAGTATAAAAATGTTCGAATGTACAAGGAAGATAATGTGATATGATAATATGATAATGCTTTCTTCATTTTATTCTTTAAATTTTCCCATCTTGTGGCGACTACAATCTCACATGCACGTGCAAAGACACACGTACATATATATATTAGATGTGCTTATAAGTATTTAAATACACAAACATATGAAGAGTTAAACATAAATATATAAAATATAAATATATTTATCAAACTTACAAGAACAAGGATGGCTTGGAAGACAGCACAAGTCCTATATCTTCCCCAGTAGGAATCGCTGAGGAAGGCTCCGACAAGGGAAAACATATAGACAGTTCCAGTCCACTTGCTTACGTTGTTGGCTGCGTCGGCGTTGTCTTGTCCCATAACCCTCGTCAGAAACAGCACCAAGTTCACTGCTACTCCAAAAAATGCCAAAGTTGCCAGCCCTTGATTCACTGCATCATATATATATATATATATATATATATATAATAGTTATGAGACAAATACTTCAGATGTTCACACTTTAATACTTATATATTTACAGTTAACTAGATGGATGCATTATGCGAATATCAGTTTTGTTCATACCATGATTCGATATTGATTCGATTTGTTATAATAAGGAGCAGAGAAATACCTTAACGATGTACTCACCACGCATTTTAAAATCTTATAAAATTAAAGCTAAACTACTCGTAGGTAATCAGTTTTTCTTTCTATAACTCAATTACTATTCCACGCCCTATGAACTATGCAGCTTGTATTTGATTTTGTGTCTCTTTATTATTTTCATTATTAATTAATTAGTGTATAATTTATCTAATAGTTTCATCTCCATATTCTGACAAGTATTTGAAGACAGCGGGTTAGGCGGGTGATGAGGTTGACTAAGAACCTAGTTACGTATATTCCTTATATGCAACACGACTTCAGTGGATGATAAATATCTATACGTTGTCACCCAGAAAAAAATATCTAAACGAGTTTATTAAAGAGCTTGTGTTATCAATTAGTCTATTTTTGTATATTTATAATTTAATTAGATTTCGTCATTTGCAGAGGTACCACATCATTTACGGCTCTAATTAAATAAAATGATGCTGTTCTAAAAGCCTGTGTCACGGATGACATAACAAAATAATGGTAACAGTTCAGAATAAAGAATAAAAAGGTCCTCAATAGGATTGGAATTAAATCCTTTTATTCCAACAAATCTGAATCTTCTTTATTATAGTATTATTATTACTCATTAATTACAAGAAATTAATTTACCTAGGATTAAATTTCCGGACACCCAAGTTCCCGTTCTTCCTCGGCGTGCAGGATGCCCTTGCCAATCAGTGGATCCATCTAATGTGTAATCCTCAACCTCCTTCGTCCTTCCCTCCATAACAGTTGTAGTATCCTAAAATAAATAAATAAATAGAATAATTTAGATTTTGATGCTTTGAATATTCTATTAATATGAAATAAGATTCTGTTCATACATATTCTGTGAATGTCTCGAGTAATATGTAGGAACAAATTAACGTGACGAAGTAGAGATATGTCTCCTGTGATATCTTATTAGAATCATCAGAGAATATTAACACATGAACTTCGAAACATGGAATATCTCCACTGACCTAACCCAGTAAAAGATTCTCCTTTTAGTATATTTCTATTTATAGCAACATTAATTTAACAAAGCAATATTTGATTCCCCGAAGAGTATTTTTTATTATTTTATAAGTAAATGAGAATGTACTTACAAAGAAAATGGGATAGATATATGGATTTCTCATTTCCTTTCAAGAAAACTTTTTTACAGGTTTGTTTGCTTTGTGCTTTTGAAAATATATAGTTCTTGGTCTTTTAATTTAAAATAAACATAACTACTATGACATGGATGACGGAATTATTCTAAGACTTGACAGGAACTATGAAAAACATTTTAAATAATTTTAGCAAAGTTGGAGTCCTTAATAATCACATCAACCATCTAAAAGCAAGAACATTATGTGTTTGTTGTTGTGCTTCTTCAAATGACGCCTTCTTACTAATTTTAATTAATTACGACAAAATTCATAGAACGTGGCAAGGCCTTTCTATTACCCAAAAAAAAAAAAAAAGCCTTTTGAGTAGAAGCACTCATATCTAGTAATTTTGCGATCTTAAGGAAATCTCATAAACAATGCCTTCTACACAAATTTATTCCATACCCCCGTGTGTGTGTGTGTGTGTAGAGAGAGAGAGAGAGACTGCGTTGTTTACTGAGAATGAAAAGTATAATTTACTTTTTTGAATTCCATAGCATAAATGGAGCCTGATATCTAATTAAGAGAAATAGAGCTTTCAAAGGCATAATAAACCATATCAAATGAATGTTCATATATATATATATATATATATTCATGCTTGACGAAGTAAATGCAAAGCCAAAACAAAGAAATGAAAAGGATTCATATAAAAATATCAAGAATTAAGAGCTAACCTTTTTGCATAAATTCAAGCAACCCATTATATATGAACTTGGGGTCTTGTTAGTCATGATGGAGATCGATCTGATTACAAAAAGGGGATATTTATGAAATGATCACACAAAAGAGAAATTAGTGGAGAGAGAGAGGCCACAAATCTTAGTGGATATTGGAGAGTAGGGTGTGCGTATTTATAGAGGTTTGGACTTTGGAGGAGATTAATTGGACGGCTAGGACAAACACACGTCATAATCAAAGTGTCAAGTGTCGTTTAATAGTGTAGGAGGCAAAGTGACGAAGACTATACTATGTTGGGAAAGCCAAAAGGTGAAAGAAACGTGAAATACTTGAACACTTAATAGTCTTTCACGCATCATTAAAAATTTGTTGATTTCCTATTATATATTCTCCATTTTAGGCCGGGTTATGACTTGCGACCTAGCTGTCCTTGACATAGACATATTTGTACACACACACACACAAAAGTATAATTTTATTAAGAAAATTTGGTAGACGAAGGAACAGAAATCACGAAGTAATGTTATGGGGAAAATGGGCGAAAAAGCTTTTGCTTAGAAATTTTATTGGGTAAAAGAACTTGAACTCTTGAATTCATATATAGAAGGTATCGACACTAGGAAAAATTTTATATTTTTTTCATTTTTTTCATATTTTAGGTCCTTCCAACTAATAAAATTTTTAAATATGAATTTTTTAATAAAAAATTATGATAACTAAAAAGTAAAATTGTATATTCATATGAAAAATTTAATGACATAACTTATAAATTGAACATAAAAAATATTTTCTCTCTGCCATATTAATATGACTATAGGAATATACTTTTATTATTAGCTGGATTTTGGACGCATGAACAAATTAAACATCTGATACTATTTATAATTTACAAAATGCATCATTCACTTAAAATTTTTCTCTCATTTTTTCATCTGATGTATATACTTATTCTCTTGATTTTCATCAGGAGATGATTTTGAACTATCTTCTCTCTTTTGTTTAGTTTTTTCATAAAATATATTTAAGTTAAATAAAATAACTCTGATTTCACAATGTCCAAATAGCACCAAATGCCTCAACAGATATGCTTTATACAAAAATTAGATCCATATGTCAATAACAAATTAGGCCATCAAGGTATAAATATTTTGTTGGGAGGGTTTTGTCACTCTTATAATCTCTCCTGACTTTTCCCGAAATAGCGGGGATTCAATGTGATTTTCATATGTCCGAAGTTTGCTACAAAAATACTAGAGATATTAAGGCCTTGTTTATTTTCTTGTTTTGAAAAAAAACTTTTTTATTTTTTTAAAATCAAAAAATACAAAATGCAAGAACTTATTTAGTAATTTGTTTTAATTTTAAGTAAAGTATTTTTAAAAGCAAAAAAAAACATAAATATGTTTTTAAAAACTAAAAAAACCAAAAAAAAAAACTATTCCCAAATCACTTTGGACTTGAAACTAATCTCTATCTGCCTGAAAGTATTAAGGTTAAAGCCTCTTCAACAAGTACGCTTCTCAGGATTTGAATTTGTGTTCTTTTCTTTGCGGAGGTAAGACCGTTTATCATCTCAACCAACAGCTTATTAGTAAAACCCAAAAAAACAATTTAATTGTTTGTTTTTGTTTTTGTATTTTTTTTTTTTGTTGGGAAACATTTCTTCTCCACTTGAAGGCTTTTTCTCCAATTATGAACTCGAGCTCTCTTTCAAGCTTCAGCTTCCTATCTCAATGTATTTATTTTTAAATGTAATTTTTCAGAACAATTATCCAAACAAATTTTTTTCCCTTTTGTTTCCAAAACTTGTTTTAAAAAATAATTTTGTAAAATTGTTTTGCAAAAAAATTAAAAAATAGAAATAAACAGGCCCTAAATTAGGCATTTTCCCTTAATTATTTCTACTAAACAACAGAGGGTATGTTGTCATAAATCCCACTTCGAGAGTATTACCTTGAATGAGTGGCTTTATATGGTTTTGGGTTTCTTGATTCCAACAGCTAGTTTTTAGAGCGTGGTTCGACTTGTGATTATTATAATAATACTCAATGAGAGCCTGACGTTCATGGAGGAGACTACCCACTCAGAATCTTAACTATAGTAGGAGGTTAAGTGTCATGATACAGAGCTCTCCATTGAGCCAACAAGCTAGCTCACTTTTCAACCTAGAGGCCCGGGTTGCCTAAATGTTAGTCCACCATGAGCGTCCCCCGGGGGGGGGGGGGGTTGTCTTCCAGCTTGACCCATATGAGCTCCAACTCGTGATGGGTTGGCTTGTATGGGTTAGCTCATATTATCAGTTTTACTCTTTTTGGACTCATATTTATGACAAAAGTGCTTTCATATTTAGTTACAATTGTAATATTATATACAAATAAGCAATTAACATTTTATGTTCTATCCTTCTAAGCTAGATATTTAGTGCGTGTTTGGATTAGTACCAATAAAATGAACTTTGAGTAAAAGTAATTTATATTAAATTTTGAAATGAAATATAATTATATTAAAATTAGATGTAGTTCAAATTCCAAAATATAGTTTTAATTTTTTTTTTAAAAAAAGTTATTAAATGAACATGGATTACACGTGCCATTCATGAAGTTGCCAGCTACCCAAATGAGCTGTATCGCCGTCATTAAGTTAACCTCCGCCTTACTTAAATCAGATTCATTATATCACACGACGCCATGAAGGGGAAATATCAACATGCGTATCAAAGTTATATCAATATACAATAATACAACCTATATGATTGGTGTTAGCTGGAACTCTCAAGAGAAGTTGTTATTGATTTTGATGATGATCAAATATTAAGAAAATTATTTTTTAATAATATTTGATTTAGCAGTTCATTAAATGATAATTGCAGATCAAGTTTAATAATATTAGAACTATTGTAGTATTGCAGATCTGAACAAATATGAAGCAAATTATGGATCAATGGATAACGGCTAACTGACTAGATGCAAGAAACAAATTAGCTAGACGTCATTTCAAGATATTCCATGATTACTTGAAGCTGAAAAGTCTGAAAAACAAAAAAGGATGTTGAACCTTATTTATGTAATCACGAAGAAGATTCTTTGCAATGTTCAAAAGTTGGAAGAGTATATGTAAAGAGAATAACTGAAGGAAATATCTTTGGCACTTCCACTGTAATATTTTAAGAGAGATTTAATTGTTATTAGCTACCTAACTACTATAAGAGCCATTTGAGTGATATTAAGTTCACACTCTAGTCTACTTTCATTTGTACTTATTTGGGGTTAGGTGGCTAACAACCCTAAAACCTTAAGTGAATAGTTTGAGCTTTGTTGTATAAAATTAACTTTGCTGAGTTGGAGGTGAATAGATTGTGTAATATTCCAGGTCATCATTGACTAACTGATTTTTCCTAAATTTTACTATCTCAAGATTAAATGTTGGTATTCTGAATTTATGGAGGAACCAGTGACTAAAATTGAAATTTTGTAGAAATATGAAGCTTCATCACAACCAATTTTGACATTAATCGTGGTGAAACATGGAGGTGGTTTCTGTGCTCAACAAAAGTGATGATGACTATTAAAATCTGGACCATTCAAAATTTTATTTTTATTTTTATTTTTATTTTTAAGAAAAATATTTTAATATGTACAGAATTTAATAGGAAAAATGACTTTTTATTTAGAAATCATCAATTGGGAATTTTAAATTTCGACCATTGAAACCCTATGTGGAGTAGTAATCTGGTGTGATTGTGATTCCTTTGATTTTTCAAGAAACCCTAATTGTCGAAATTGAAAATTTGCTAGAGGCCGGTGAATTAGCTTGGGATATTTGGACCTTAGACTCATCTATAAATGCACAAGTTTACCTATATACTACCTCCGATCTTTAATATAAGAGCTAGATAACTAATTTAGGGATATTAAAAAAATTAGTTAAGTTGACTATTTGTCACAAAATGTGTGTTGATATCCCTGAACTAATTTTTTTCAATCATGTGCGTTGGATGATTGAAATTATTTCTTCGTGAGAACCTCTTACAATTAATAGGAATATTTTGGGAAAAGATAATATACAAATTAGGTTGAGGTCTTATATTTAGGATCAAATTAAATCTCTAACTAACTCTTATATTAAGGATCAAAGGTGCTACTAAATTTGCATAAGATGCCATTGACTTGAATATATATATAGCATTTTGTTCACAAATATTTACTACATCCAGTCCTTGATGTAAGAGCTAGTTGACTAATTCAAGTAAATTAAAAAAGTTTGTTAAGTTAGTTATTTATAATAAATAGATGTTATCTTTCCTAAAATATCCTTGCTAATCATGTGTATTAGTTAGAACTACCATTTGATGAAGCTTTTAACATGTGTAAGCGTAGCTAGTGCAAGGACTACTTTAAAAAAAAAAAAGAATAAATATGAGAGACAAAGTAAATTAGGATCTCATATTTAGGACCAAATTGAATATTAAATTAGTTTTTATATTAAGGACGGAGTAATAAATGTTTTATACTTCCACTAATTTCATTTTATTAATTACAAGAAAACATTATGAGCGGGTTTATATAAATGTTCAAAGATATACATGAAACAAAACTTGTGGATTTAAGTTCCCTTGAATCATTTTAAACTCCAAATATTTTATGGACATATCCCTTTAATTTGCATCTTTTAGTTGAGCAGCCATGCGCTTAGTCTTGGTAGAATTAATACAAGTGCCTACCCTTCCTACTATATTAATTTTTTTGAAGAGGAAAAGGCCAAAAGATAAATTAACCCGTAATACACATGCAATATATATATAATTGGACAATTTTCCGGATATACTCCTCACTTTTTTTAATGAAAAGTGTCATGCAACTGTATCAATATCCCTTGGGTTCACAATTTTTTTCCACATGAAAATTTGTAAATTTTATGGAAGAATTTTTTTAGAGAATAAAAAAATTTTGCTACAAATTTGTTGAGAGGGAGTAACAGGCACACGGTGAAAGATGACTTGTACATACTATATTTGGTTCTTAATATAAAATCTATTTTGTGATTTAAATTAAATTA